TTAGAAATAAAAATAAATCATGGTATTTTTCTATGAGATTTAGGAATAAGTTTTTGTTAAATAATGACTGCAGGTTGCTAGTTTTTTCATGTAAATTATTTGCAATTATACATATGATTGTTATATATACAGTTACATGAAAAACGTTCCACTTCATTTTACATATCAAAATTATAATGAACGGTGAAAAATAAAAGAAAGTAAGTTTAATTTTTCTTAATCTTTTTACTTTAACTTATTATGTCACATGTAAGATATTTGGAGTGAAAATTTAAATTGTGATAATTAGTTTTCATAGCAATTAGCTCTTAATATCTGACCAAACTCTTAGCACGCGAAAAAAAGAATATTACAAAACTGAAATCTAAAGTCTATGCAAACACATTAAATTAATAAAGAGTATATCTTCTATTGAAGATGATCAATCGAATACGAAAATAAGCAAAATAAGGAATTCAAGGCGAAAAAGAAAATTATAGAAATATCTACTTATAAATTCATTTTCCTGACCGTAAAATCACTGAATTTAGAGATTTATAATATTAATTATACTTGAAAGGATTATGATAAAGTGAACATTTAATTTAATTATCAATTTTTCAATCTATAAGAGCTCACTAGGTGACCTACTATACAGTCCTAATTCAAATTCACGAACATAATAAGAAGTCTTTCGCAAGACTCCCGTATAGAAAACTTTTAAGTACTGCAAGCGTTACTCAAGGTTAACTTTAATTGTTGAGCGACAAAATTTAAAAATAACCAATTTGTAAAATAAAAAAATTATTTCAATAGCAAAATTATATTTTAAACTTTAATGATAAATCAAAAATTATAAAAATGGTAAGCTTTGTAAGACACATTAATTTTTTTCCGGTCGGAGATTATATAAGTATAACTCAAGTCTCTTGCAGCGAGAATTTCTGACGACTCTGCGCCACCTATTGGAGATTTTCAGGAATTAATGAATTAAATTTTGTTATGAATAAAATTTCTCGAAATTTTCTTGAACTACTTATAAAATATCTTAAGACAGACGTTATAGTTCATCGAAAATTAAATTATTTTGGATTCAACAATTAGTTATCAAAATTTTACTAAGTGACCCAAATAATTAAAGAATTAAGTCAAATAATTATTAATTTTTAATATTATTAAATATTAATAATTTTAATTAATTTTTTAAATATTAATAATTAATAACTTATTGTTAGAAGCAAAATACAACTGGGCTCAATAATTTTCAGGGCAGTCAAATATTTCACTAAAATGAGCTTGTGAGTAACGCTTAATTAAAACAATAAAAACGAAAAAAGAAAAAAAAATAGAAGTCTATCAAAACCTACCAAAATCATACGAAATATATCTGCAACTGGAGATTCCGCTGTAAAATACGAAAGAAGAAAAAACTTGTGATTAAAGATGACCAAAGAATCTGGAACACTTCACTTTTAAAAAGAACATGTGTTTTTACATCATTATTACAAAATGACCGATTCCTTGCATCGTTTATATTAACAATAATTTTAAAAATTAGGTAAAAATTAACATTTAATCAGACCAATCATCACAAAGTCGCAAAAGCTTTCCACGCGACCGAAGTTACAAAATTCAAAAATAACTAATTATTCGTAAGATGAAAAAATTATACGAATTATCTAAATATGGTAGAGACAAAATTTAATGTCAAACTTTAATGATATATAAAAAATTACAGAAGTGGTAAAATTTGTAAGACACATTCCTTATTTTGGCCGAAAGGTTATATAAGTATAACTCAAGTCTCTGGAAACGAGAATTTTTGACGACTCTGCGCCACCTATTGGAGATTTTCAGGAATTAATGAATTAAATTTTGTTATGAATAAAATTTCTCGAAATTTTCTTGAACTACTTATAAAATATCTTAAGACAGACGTTATAGTTCATCGAAAATTAAATTATTTTGGATTCAACAATTAGTTATCAAAATTTTACTAAGTGACCCAAATAATTAAAGAATTAAGTCAAATAATTATTAATTTTTAATATTATTAAATATTAATAATTTTAATTAATTTTTTAAATATTAATAATTAATAACTTATTGTTAGAAGCAAAATACAACTGGGCTCAATAATTTTCAGGGCAGTCAAATATTTCACTAAAATGAGCTTGTGAGTAACGCTTAATTAAAACAATAAAAACGAAAAAAGAAAAAAAAAATAGAAGTCTATCAAAACCTACCAAAATCATACGAAATATATCTGCAACTGGAGATTCCGCTGTAAAATACGAAAGAAGAAAAAACTTGTGATTAAAGATGACCAAAGAATCTGGAACACTTCACTTTTAAAAAGAACATGTGTTTTTACATCATTATTACAAAATGACCGATTCCTTGCATCGTTTATATTAACAATAATTTTAAAAATTAGGTAAAAATTAACATTTAATCAGACCAATCATCACAAAGTCGCAAAAGCTTTCCACGCGACCGAAGTTACAAAATTCAAAAATAACTAATTATTCGTAAGATGAAAAAATTATACGAATTATCTAAATATGGTAGAGACAAAATTTAATGTCAAACTTTAATGATATATAAAAAATTACAGAAGTGGTAAAATTTGTAAGACACATTCCTTATTTTGGCCGAATATTATTATTATTATTATTATTATTATTATTATTATTATTATTATTATTATTATATAATTATTATTATTATTATTATCTATTAGTCAATACTATAAAAAATAATAGTTAGATATAATATTTGATTCATATAGTTTACTTAATTGTATTAAAACAGTAGTATCAACAAATAATTAAAATCTACTTACACGGCCAAAACTATCATATGTACCAATAATTTCAGCTTGAGGAAAAGCTGTTCGCAAAAGATTTTTGAAGCATAAATCCGTATAAATACGTCCAATATTTCCAACAGCTAAAAATGATTGACACAGTTGATTTAATACTTCAACAACCACGTCTGCATTCATGTCTTTCCACAAAATAGTTATCACCGGAAAAGCCTGTAAAATATCAATTTTACAATAAATAAATGAGTTTATTAATTATTAAGAAATGTATCACATCAAATAAAAAACAGTAACATATATAAAGAAAGTATAACTACCATCGTGCTATGGTGGGAAATGAAAAGAAAAAGAAACTTGATAGATTTCTGTAATAGGAGAAAAGATAAGAAAGAAAGATTTTAATGAAGAACATTTGAAACCGATAGCATTTAAAAGCTTTAAAACCAATAAGAACTGAATATATAAATTATTGACATTATTGCCGTATTTAGCAACAATACTGCTTATTAAACGCGTATTATTTACTTGTGGGAGTACATTTGTAGTTGTTGTAATAAAGAGAGTATCAAACGCAAACTCTGCAATCAACTCCGGATCTCCGATTATAAGAGCGTCATCCTGCAGGGCTGAAAAGTCGAGCGAGTAACCGTGGTAGTACTCGCGTAATCGATTATAATGAGGATTGTTGAGAGTGTTGACTAAATCAACGTAACTCTCCACATCATCTGGAACAAATCTGCGACGAGAATTGGCCATCAGCCTGTGTACGATTTGAAATGGTTCACTAGCCACGACTAAATGTGGAAAACTAAAACATAATTAATATAATAATCAATCAATTTATCAATATGTTGTTATAGGTGCCATAAGGTCCTATGTTGTCAGAAAGCCACAAAGATACATAAAAAAATATTTTTCTAAGCATAAAAAAATTCAAATTAAAAAAAAAATTATTTTATATACCGTCATGGCTCTGGGTTTTAACGGCATCTGATATTTATACTTCTTTGACGAGATATTAAGTTAAAAAAATATATAAATAAAAATTCAGCTTACTTAACAGCCACCTCATTATAAATTGTAAGCAAAGGTAAAAAAGACTGACGGGCTGATGCCGTAAGCTCGACTTTAAATCTTTCTCTAAGTCCATTTTGCTGCACAACTCTCTGATGAGAGTGGTCTTTAGTAAGAATAATGGGGTCATTCCCTTGTTTTACTCCTCGAGCTGGACATCGAGCCTTCAAGCTTAAGCGGCAATGCAAATAACTACAAAAAATCAAAAAAATAATTAATTATTGATGGTTGTTGAGTATTATGTACGGGAAAAAAAATTTTATGAAAAATGACAATCGTCACATCATAATCCTGGAACCAGACTTTCAAAATTTTTAGTTTTATAATTTTTATTTGAAAATTTACTACTTCCGTGCGAATTTTTAATTTTTCATCGTAAAAATGCATTTAAAAGTACTAAAATTAGCGGACATGGAACAATTTTTAAAATTATTTTATAAATTTAATTACAACCGAAAAAAAATTTTTTTTTTTTTTTTAATTGTAAAACATATCATAATTATTGGACAAATATTAAGTAAATAAATTTTTAATTTTTTTTACCTTCGTCCATGCTTAATCTTTTCAAGAACATAAGAATGACCATCCTCATGGATTACGTGGGCCATTTTTTTTTAAAGTGAATATTATAACAATGTGTTCATGAACTTTAATTTTATTATTTATTTGCCTTGCCAAACTTTTTTAAATTTAATGCACAAATAAAATTAAGATAGTCTTTATTATAATCAATTTTTACTACGACGCTTAGTGAACGCGGTTAGCAAAAATGCAGCGAAAGAAACAATTGCCGGTAGGTTTTTGTTTCTCTGTTAAGCTTCACTTAGACGCTTAGCGACACGCGTGGATTTAAAGTGAGTTTGTTGTAAAAATACACACTTTATTATGTTGCATATATATATATATATATATATATATATAATTTTTTTTAACCAACAATTTAGATGTCATTTTCATGAATAAAATTTAGGATTGATTTACATATTTATTCATGTAGAAAAAATTAAAGATAGACGATATTGAACTTAAGGGTTTCGTAAATAATTTTAAATAAATAAATAAATTAATTAATTAAATTTATCACAGTGTTGTTGCAGTTAATTATTAAAAAAAAAAAAATATGTTTCAATTTGGTAGAAATAAAAATAAAACGGCGCCAACTTTTTATAATGGCTATTGTTATTCACAAGTAGGTGTTTCAGATAATAATATGTGAGTAAAATTAATTTTCTTATATTTTATAATAATTACATATGGATTTTAGTTCTTTTAATTAAATATTTTAATAATTTAATTATTTTAATAGATACCTTGAATGTCATGAAAAGAGTCGACAGAGATGTTCAGCTCGAGGAGTGAAGAATAGTGAATCCCCAGTTGTTTCTCTGACAAAAGATCATAATCATGGTCAAAATTATGATACTGAAGTGATTTATAACTTTAAATATCAACTGTATCATTCAGTAACCTCCTCTACACGCGATTTACGCCTTATTTACAACGAAATTAGTATTAGGTACAATTTTTTATTTACAAATAATAAATTTTCAATTGTTCAAATAATTTTTAGGTTTCAAAAGCTTTAATAATAATGATATTGAAATTAGCTAACATCTGTTAGTTGTTTAAATTTTCGGAGCAAATTAATTACGAAAAAAGAATATTTAAAAAAATTCGTACTTTGACTTTTTTTTCTTTTTTTTTTTTTAATTTACACATGTAGAATTTTTGAAATGAATTGTTTTCCATAACAATTTAATTGACATAAAAGTTTAAGAAATTGTTGTGCTGGTCAATTTTAGTTTCATAAATAATACTGGTCAGCAGACACCTGACAGCTTACACTATTTTTTTATAATAAATAAACTATGATGAAAAAGAATATTTCACTAAATTTATAATAGATAAGGTAAAAGTTTAAATTATTGACACTATAAAAGACAGAGGTATGATTTATTTTTTTTTTAAGTAATATCAAACATCAATATCATTGAATTTTGTTTGTGGTAATGTCCCAAGTAATGTTTTTACTAATCAATTTCTTTCTTTTAAATGATAATCACTGATATTTAACTAAAATTTACTAATTAATTTTAAATAATTAAACAGATTATCTGGATACACCAATTATTGACAGGTTAAAAAACTGATTAATCTCATTATTGACATACCTTAGCCCCAATTATTGACACCTATACTATGCATGCGTCAAATCATCTGCTTATTGTTATTTATCGAAACTTAGTATTAAGTAATCAATTTTATTAAAGTTTAATAATAATAATTTCCATAAATGATTAATTACTTTTAAAAATATAAAAATTAATTTTAAAATAATTTATTTAATCAGAATAGTTCAAACTCTTACAGTAAATTTTTTAGGATAAAGTAAAAAAAAGGCATCGTAGCGCTGTCGAATGACTGTCAATATAAGATTCAACTTAAAAATTATCAACTAGTTATTGACACCCATTATTTAAATGTTATAAAGCATACAATTAATTTCAATTATTAAATTTTATAAATCATATATATTTTTATTTAAAAAAAAAAGAAAGATCATATTATTAGATGAAGAAATAAATTTGAACTCGGTATTTAAAAAAATACTTTTCTAATCAAAGTTGTTAAGAAAACAAACGTTCGTAAGGTGGTTTCATGAACTGGTGGTAACTTTATTTTTTTTTTAATAATTAATATTTAATTATATAAATATAATTATATGATTAATTAAATAATTAATAATTAATATTTTGAACTAACAGTAATTTTTTATCAATTTATTAATTAATTAGAATTTAATAAAAATTAATACGATAGTTATTATTATTACAGATGATTAAATATATTTAAAAAAAATTTAAGGTGTCAATATTTAGACCCCTGTCAATAATTAGGGCTTTTACCTTACGTATAATTTTTTTTTAATTTCTATACGTGGACATTTTTTATAAAATTGTTTTTCAGAATTCAATCGTTATTAAAATCTAAAAAAATTGTCAGATATCTAATAATAATAGTTTTATTTTTACAGACATTCACGAGCATCTGCATTAGTCCCATACATTAGCATTACGAGAACAATGCAAGGATGGCGCAGAAGCAATTGTCCTCCAGTACCGACCACAATGGAAGAATATGTTCGGCTGTTAAACTCACCGCGATGGAGATCTTGTTTTATTTCTAATTCAAGCAATATAAGTGCTGTTAATATAAATGGAACCGATGGATCAGTAGTTACAATATTTATAGATGCGACTTTGCTGCAAAATTTTATTAGAGTAAATCTTTATGTCGATGCAACATATAAAGTGTGCCCAAGAAAGCCGTACAAAAAAATTTATCAGTTTTTTACCATAATGGCGTCTTTTGATGATGCAGTAAGTATTTTTTTTCCTAAATTTTTTTAATTTTTTTCAATACTGACAATTTTTAGGTTCTTCCAGTAGCTTGGAGTTTCATGTCACGTAACAAAGTATACCCTGTTACTATTCAGTAGTGAATCATTTTAAGCAAGTAGCTCCACACCTACAAGTTTTATCTGTCACTACTGATTTTGAACTCGGTTTAAGGAGTGTATTTCGTAGACTGTATCCAAACGCCGTTTTGAAGGGTTGCTATTTTCACTTTGTACAGGTGAGCACGTTAGGTAGAATGACCATTCAATAGTAATGTCTTCTAATCATTTTGTACAAAAAAGTATATCAATGCATTTAATTTAATTTAATTAATTTTAAAAAATATTAAAAGTAATTGTTTTTGTTATAATTTTACAATTAATATTATGTTGTATAACAGACTAGCCTGTATTTTTTCCAGTATAGCTACTAGAACATACTAATTAAGGATATATAGTATTATATATTAAACTTACCATCGGTATTTATAATTTTGTCCCCACTCTAGTAGTTCTATATAATATCTAACAAATATTTACGCTTTAAAAACAATAAAAATGAAGCTTTAAAAATTATTTTAAACATTGCTTGATAAAAGGTGAAGTATCTTAGTTGAAAGAAAATCAATTCATTTTTTTTTTTGTAATAAAGTAAATTAAAATTAAAATTTTCTGAAAGGCTTTTATCGCCATAAAAATTATTTTACAATAATCAAGTGAAATAGGGATAAGTTTCAATAATTAATTTTAAGTAAATACCACTCATTGAATAGCTACTGAAAGTGAAACATAATAACCACACAGTAGAACAAATCTGATTAGTGAATACATTAGATAAATAATTATAAGAACAATTGACTTTCATGCAAAGTGTAAGAACTGGAAATTAATATTTACTTTTATCGTTTTTCAGGCCTTGATGAAAAAAGCTAAAAAGAGTGGGTTACTGAATGTACTAAATGATTGGGATGATGGAAAAGATTTTTTCCGAAAAATAATATCATTAGCATTATTACCTAGCCATCAAATTATACCTGCCTTCAAGTGGTTACTTACTGTGTATAGTGCGTTTCAACCAGCGTTCCATCAATTTCTTCAGTATTTTCAATCATATTGGTTGGAGACTGTTAAACCAGAAAACTTCTCTGTATTTGGGTGTTTAGAAAAAACAAATAATTATGTTGAATCAAACAACCGTCGATTGAATGTAGAGTTTGGTATTCATCCATGTATTTGGGATTTCACAAGTAATATATTTTCTTCATTTGTTTATTTTGATTGTTAATTAACTTTTTTTTTTAAATGAAAATTTTGTTAATTTTTAAATGATGCGCCAAAAAAGTTATATTAACATTAGTTTATTTTAGAATTGTGTTTTTCTTTATGAAAGCCTGCACAGAAAAAAAGGTTCACTTGAGCCAAGAAAATATTTTTCTTCTTAATTATTTTCTTGAGCGAAAAGAAAAATTTTTTTGATACAAGAAATTTCACTCATTCCAACAAAATTAGTTTTCTTGCTTTAAGAAATACGTTTCTTGATTCGCAAAAATTTATTTAAGTCAAGAAAATCTAATTGTTTTGAGAAAATTCAGCCTCTTGCTCCAAAAAATTAAATATAAAAATAGAAGTTAATTTTTATTAATTAACATGTCAAATGGGAAGATCAAATAATATTGAATCATTTTTATTTTAATTTAATATGTATAATTGCACGCTAAAATAATATAAAATGGGTGTCAAATATTCAAGAGAAAAATTTTCTCAAGGTGAGAAAATCTTTTTCTCAGCTGAAATAGATAACGCTATTTCCCTAAAGTATCTAAAAATCTTGATCAAATATAAAATTTTATTGTATCAAGTATTAATGATAATTTGAATGAAGAAAAAATGACTTCTACCAAAAATAGAATTTCAAGAAAAATTTTTATTTCTGCCAACACAACTTCGGTCTTCCTTCAGGCTACTGAAAATTTTCTTGAGCTAAGAATTTTGTTCTCCAGTCAAGAAATTCCTCTTTTTGTGTTAATTATTTATTAAAAGATTTTAATGTCAATAAAAAAAATTTTTTATTTTACAGAAAAGTTTATAATGTAAAACTTCACAGCAAAAAATTTTGCGTCACTGCGTTAAAAAAAAAAATTTTGTTATAAATTTTTATGTTAAACGCAAAATTTTTTACTTTGTACTTCATTAATCAAGATTGTTTAGCTATTAATTTATGATAAAACATTTAAAAAATATTAAAATTTAATTATTAAAAATTATAGAAAAATTGATGGAGCTGTATGAAAGAAGTAAAATCGAACTGGAATCGATGATGATGGGTCTTCCTATCAGGAGACAATCTCGATTGAATTACTTAATTAAAGAAGCAGTTTTGATAAGAGCTTGGGACTTATACAATAATAATGTTTTAGATTTCAAACATTTTTTAGAGTGTACAAACAAATTTTTAACAATATTCGAAAATGATCAAGGCTTATTATCTGTCGATGAAGTTGATACTTTTATCAATTTTAAAATTCAAATGTACAGTGAGTATATATTACAATTATATTTAAGAATTCCTTTAAGAAAAGTAATTATCCATGCAAAATTTTAATAATTCTAAAATTAATTAATTTTATCTTTTTCCAGTTGCAATAAACGAAAAATTATATATTGCCATCGATGAAATTGAAAACAATGTTCCAGAACATATTATTTTCATACATGATAATTAATAAACTACCTGTCACTTATTAATTGATACTTATTAATTGATAATATAAATATAATTTTATATTATATTTAAAATTTAAATAATATAAATATAATTTTATGTAATATTGAAGTAAAAAGAAAAACAATAATAAACTGTACTTCATTAGATTTTTGATAATAAATAATTTCATTGAATAATAATTTTTAATTAGTGAACATTAATATAAATTAATTATAATTAATATTTATTTTATTTTATATTTTTTTAATATTCAGTAATTTTTATAACATTATTTTATTATTTTATTTGCAATAATAAGTTATTTTATTGTAATGTTTTTTATAAATTTTTCAACACTTAAATTATTAGAGCCAAAAGCTACGTACTCTCTGTTTCATTTGGAGATTTCTGTTTTACCTATTCAGCTGACGTGAAATCTACATTATCAACAGTCACCAGCAATAAATTTTGTCATTTAATTTTCGATCACTAATACGCATATTTTAAAAATTTTTTTCGAACAAAATCCATTCGAAAGGGCTTGACTAAGCTTAGATTTTCCATAATTTGGACCGATTCGAACCAGTAAATTTGAAGAAATCTTGAAAAAACTGCAAAAAAAATTTTTTTCAAATGCGGTTTTTTTTTAATTATTTTTAAATGGCTTAACTGATCGATTCCAAAAACTAATCAGCTCTTAACATAAAAAAAACACGTCGATTGCCGCCAGTCCGGTCAAAATCGGTTAAATCGTTCATGAGTTATGGTTAACGAACAAAATCGAAAAACTCGTTTTTTGAGAATTACTTTGAAATTCTTTGTTCGATCACTTTAAACTTAAAGGTTGTTCATAAGGCTTTAGAAATTGCGTTGAATGCCACCAACCACGTAAAAATCGGTTCATTTATTCAAAAGTTATTGCGGTTTAAAAATTCGAAAAATGGTGTTTTATTCAACTTCTAGCAGATTTTTGAGCTCGGAAAGCTCAAAATGATACGAAAATTATCCCTGATTAAGAAAAAGTTTTGAGACAAAGAAAAAAGTATTGGTTTTCTAGGCAATCCAATACTTTTTTCTTTGTCTCAATACTTTTTTTATTCAGGGATATTTTTGAGCTCGAAGAGCTCAAAAACGTAATAAATGTAGTTTTGTGCGCTTAAGTATGAAATGAGCGGGAAGTTGCAGGGATGGCCTTTAGGGTCAACCGTTTTCCTAATTTTTTTTGTATACAATCCTAGTAGTTTTTTTTTCTATTCACTATGAAAAATCTACTACCATTTCGGCTGCCGAATGGCCTTTTTGTAATTTGAAACATATATTTGAACTTTTTTTTTGTTTTTGACTTTTTTTTAAATGCATGACAGCTTGCTTTTATATGACACTATCAAGATCCATCTTCCAATCTCACGTAAAGCAAATTGTATTTTTTCTAGTAATTAACACCTTTATGACCATTATAAATAATCTTCTTAATTCGTTAGGACATTTCAATGCAATATCTATTTTCATTTATTAATTATGTGAAGCAAATTACGAATACCTAAGTTGATCCTTTTCATTATAAGAATTATAAAATGTATTTGATCCCAGTATGAATATGTACTACAATAACGTATCGTATTTGAAAAGTATAATAAATGAACTCATTTTATTACATATCATGAAATATGTAAGTGGATATGTATAATACAAAGAGGATTCATACGGATGCATGTGTATTGTGCCAATGATCTCAAGGACGTTCACGCAAAAAGATTCAATGTATAGGTACAAGTAGCTTCGAGTGACGGGCCTATTGCATCGTCGACTATAAACACTTACTCCCACTATTAAAATTAAATACTATAACATATATTAGTATAATAACATGTCATTGATGTGAATTCTAACAGTCGCGGAAACTAGTCTTCTTTGAAAAGTCAATGATGAAAGATTCAAAGTGAATAGTTATTCACACTTTGAGTAAATAGGTATAATTTAAAATACTTCATTACTGGTAGAATTGATTTTACTATTTTATACAAATTATCATATACGCAAATTCTAATATTGAACATTAAAAATAACTATATTACAAATTTTTCGCATTATTTAAGGCATTCATTAGTATGCTCTATGATTTATTAACATGCTGTAAAGAACATAATTGTTCCATAATTGATTTTCAAATACAGGATATTAGAGAATTTCATACTGTTCCAACATGTTGCACAAAAATTGAAAAAAATGCTTTTCTATGTGATTTTTTAAATTGAATCCTGAAAGATATTTCTTAAAGGTGACTGAATCTTTCAATGTTTTTGAAAATTTTGTATCGTAAGCTTTTATCAATTCATTAACTTTCAAGCATCGGTTAATACTCAGTATACTCTGCTATTTTTTCCCATTTTGATTGTTATTTATTTATTAATTTAATTTTAATTTAGAGTCGGTTTATTTGCTGTGGTGGATTTCAACTGTTGAGCGTGGTACGTTGGGGTCTTTTGGGTTGTGAAAATCTTAACTTACGCGGCAAGGATCAAATCTCAACCAAGCTGGTTTCTAAGACCAGCTTGGAATTCGAACCCACACCTATCCGGTGAGTGAGTTCGAGTGCTCTATATAAGCCGTGAGCCTTTGACCACTCGGCTAACATCACCGATTCATTTTTGAATGATTGATGTATAATTATTTCTTGTTCAATAATAATTCAAATCAATGTTTGTCATTTAATATTTTGTTTTTAGTTATTTAAAACATGTTTATTACTAGTAAACATTTAGAACGAAAAATCAGTTTCTAAATTTGTTTAAAGACAACGTAATAACACAATTTTTTATTTATTTGCATATTTCTTCGAAAAAATAGCTTCTCTATTATTTTTTGCTAAAAAGTATTTTTATCATTCGACTTGATTTGTTGCGTGGTAATTATTTCTACATTTGAAGAAATCAATTGGTTGTTTTTACAGACAATCTTTTCAACATTGCTTATTGTTAGAAATTCTACTAAGTCTGTTTCATTCGTTGTGATACACAGCACTTTATGTGAATTCTGAACTATGTAGGCGTAGCGTCGGTTTAATATATGTTGTAATTAAACAGCGGAAGAAAGTAATAAAAGGAAAAATTATTTTTTGACTCGTCCAATTGCTTCGGACATCATATAAAAATAATAGTTATCTTAGAAATTTGTTGCGCTTAAATAAACCAATTAAAATATTAAAAAAAAAAGGCCATTCGGCAGCCGAAATGGGAGTAGATTTCATGATGAATAGAGAAAAAAACTACTAGGATAGTATACAAAAAAAAAAAAAAAAAAAAAAAAAAAAAAAAAAAAAAAAAAAAA